CCACCACCAATCAGAGTGAGTATGCAAATTAACCCCAACCAAGATAACTGTGGCCTCAGAGAGCAGGAGGGTGGCTTGGGTTTCTCTGGCAATGGAAGAAGCCAAGTTTTACACTGCCCTGGCCAGTCTAAGCCTCCACTCTAGGCTACAAAGTTTCAATTATAGAAAGTAAACAATCCACACAGAAATGGTGGCAGCCACAGAGCAAGCAAAAGACTTGGCTCTGCTCCAGGTTACAAAGTTTCAATTGTAGAAGATAAATTCCAGATCCCAGGGTCTCCACTTGGGTCGATGTATGGCTGGCCTGCAAACTACCACAGGCCAGTTATCCTCATCAGGTGATCAACCTTGCAGAGATCAGGCCTGCAGAGGAGGGAAGTTGGGGGCAAACAGACTGGCAGGGGAGCAGTTAGACATCAATCAGGCTGGCATGGGAGTGGTTAGGGGCAATCAAGAAGGCAGGCAGGTGAGCAGTTGGAAGCCAGCAGTCCTGGATTGTGAGAGGGATGTCTGCCTGCCCAGTGGGATAAGGCCTAAACAGGCAATCCGATATCCCTGGAGGGATCCAAGATTGGAGAGGGTGCAGGCTTGGCTGAGGGACACCCCCTCCCCCTCCCCCTGTGCATGAATTTCATGCACCGGGCCTCTAGTCTTTAATAAAAACCCTTTGAACAATCTGCACAAAAGCCATGCTACACACACACACACACACACACACACACACATCGTACACACACCTGGTCATATTAAACATCAGACAACAAAAATGAAAACCTAATTGTCAGTGAGTATGTGGAATGACTGGAACTTGTATTCTCTATTTGTGGGAGTGTAAGCAAGCTGACAATATTTAATCCAGGTGAGTGTGTGCATATGGCCTACCAATTCCACCACTAACTGTGTGCCTCCCCCAAACCACATGCAAATAAGTCCTGTACATTCAAAGCAATATTATCTGTAATAGTTATAAATCAGAAGTCACCAACAGGCAAATTGACATATAGTGTATCACCCATACCACCGAATATCAAACAGCAGTAAAAATGAAAAGAGCAGTCACCCTCATCAGTTGTTTCTGAGTAGAGATACTGAGCAACAGAACATTGAGTGGGGGGAAATGATGCAGAAAAATATACATTGCATGATACCAATCATACTAAACTTGAAAATATAAAATTTCAATTCACTAAACTCCCTATGCATGTATGCATAAATAGAATGGTATAAAAACATGAATGAATATTAAGTACTGAATTCAGGATAGTGGTTACCTCTAGGGAGGGAAAGAAGTACCTAGGAACTTCATCTCTATTTACAATGTTTTAAAATCTGAAGCAAATGTGAAAAAATATTAATATCTCTTATGCTAGGAGGTGCATATAGGGTATTTATTTGGGATATTCTGTATGTTGAAATATTTCAAGGTAAACAAAGAGAAGTCAACTCTCTGACAACTCAAGCTTAGAGAAACTGGTGTAAGGAATTAATAGTTTCATTGTCTTCGAAGAGAAACTGAAACTGTTCCACTGCCTAAGAAATATGAGTTGTTTATTTTTTGGAACTTTGGGTATATTTTAGCTTATTTATTTGTTCTGATCCTCTTTCCACAAAGGATTCAAGGTAGTTTGCAACAAACGACACATACAATGAACCCAGAAAACAAAATGTAAGTAGAAAATCAGGGTCAGAGATAAGTATTCCATCAAAACTGGTTAACCACAGCTGCTGTGATCAAGTTTCAAACTTGGCTCTGGACTTGTTGGCAACAGTCACCATTCCATCTCCAGCTGACCCATCAAAGCAGGCTTTGAAAATCAACCTTTGTTCTTTATAATTTAGACCTAATATTTCCTGAGCAGTCTCTATATTTTATTTTTCATCTTGCCTTACTAAATAGCTAGGTTCTTTTTTCCCTTATTCTTTTGTCTCTCCCTCCCTTTCTTTTCATTCTTTATTTTACCCAAATGCCAAGTCCTTAAGACTGGCAGTGGTTAAGAATGAAGGTTCAATTTATTATTTATTGGCTGAAATACGCCGAGGTGATATTTTTAATTTCTCTGTGCCTTAGTTTTCTAATGTTCAAATGGGGATTATCTATCATACAGATATCACAGTGGTAGATTACATAAGATAATGCATGTGAAAAACGTTGAATGATCCTAGTCACTGCTCAGGAACTCTTAGCTGTTGTTATGATTATTACTCCCTGGAGGAGAGTATGAATCACAGTGTATCTCATGCCCCAGTCAGGAATAGATCAGGAGCAGGGTAAAGCTTCACTGTCTCACATGCAAGACTGGCACTGGTATGATGCTCAGGAAGTAGACCAGCACCACCCTCAGACTCAGCTGCAGTTCCCAGTCTCAGATCCAAGTGTACTATTCAGCCACCAGCAGATCTAGCAGCACACTTAACCATCCAGCTGCTGCACTAGAACACGACAAGGACTGGACATCTGCTTCTGAGGCAACACAAGATTCTATTTCTGTTGAGAGTCCTTTTGGAGAAAAGCAGGCCTTCAGCAGAGACTGGCCTGGAGGGCCTCAGACCACAGGATGTGCATCTCTGCCCTTCCTGAAGATGCGGGGAAAGCCCACATTCAGAGGACAACTTACTCTAGGTGTCACCACTACCTACCTCACTTGATTCCAGGCCCAGCAGACTCCTGATTTTTGTCCTCTCATCTGGAGAGGAACTCCAACAAAATGGGTTGGGAGGAAGCTGAGCTGAAGGGGAGAGGAACTAGATAGATAGGATGACGCAGACATTGGGAGTTTAGAACCAGGCAAAATAAAGATTCAAGAAGTCGAAGTCAATCAGTATGGGGCAGAGGAGGAAGATAAGAGGGAGTTCAGGTACAAAGGAATGAAGACCAAGTGACTAAAGCTGGGCATAAGGAGATTTGGTTTCAGGAGCATGATAGACACTGAGGGTCTAGGTATAGTCAGCAGTGTCTGTGGGCTTGCTGCCAAGTTATTGAGTGCTGATTTAAGGATCCTTAAATTCCCAAAATAACTGGGGAGGGCCAAGAATGCATGTACATGTGAGGGTCAAGTTCTTTTGCATAGAGATAAGAGGGTTGTGGGATGGGAGGCAGTATTAAGGGAGAGATTATTTATTAAGCAGCCAGTCCATTCATCGACCAGCCCTAGAGCCAGCAGCAGGCTCCACACTGCTTAGCAGTCATGAGTTCCAACCTTTCCTATCACTAGAAGCCCACAAGCATGGTATTCTTATTCTCGCTCAGCATTGCTATCAAGGTGGGATCTCATTTCTATGTCAAACAAGATATAAACCCAGGAGAGCAGCCTTCATAAGCCAGAGGAGAGGCCCATATGTTTCAGTTTAGAGACTGGAGGATCAGCAAGAAATGCCAATAGCTTTTCCTGTCCTAGGGCACCAATTCTGTGGTTCAACTTGTAGCTGGAAGAATAATAACTCCATTTGTTGACTGTTCACTGTGTGCCAGGCATTATACTAACTGCTTTAAATGCATTCTATCTCATGTGATCCTCACAACATTATGAGGTGGGCACTATTATGAGGAAACAAGTTCAGATTGGTTGCAAACTCTCAAGATGGTAGCTCAAGTGTCAAGATACAAACCCAGGACAGTGTGACTTAAAAAGCCATGTTTTAGCCTGGCCTGTGTGGCTCAATGGTTGAATGTCGACCTGTACACCAAGAGGATGCACAGGCCCGGGTTGTAGGCCTAATCCCCAGTTGTGGGCAAGCAGGAGGCAGCCAAACAATGTTTTCTCTCATCTTTTCCTAACTCTCTCCCTCTTCCTTCCTCTTTCTCTGAAATCAATTAAAAAAAAACATTAAAAAAAAAAAAAAGCCACATTCTGAAACAGAATGCTGACCTCCTAAACTCGAGCACTCCTTTCTGGGGGAGGAGGACCAAGAGCTCTTAAAGATGTGGGGCCTGAGCGCTGCAGCAGCAGCTTGCCTGCTTCCTCCCACATTTTGGTTTGACTTTGTCATCCTCTCTCATTCTTGTTCACATCTTCGTGGGCTTGCTGCCAGTTAACAGCTGCCAGGCGAAATCTGAGCAAATTGAAGAAGTCTCATTTACTGACCTGTGAGATCATTTTCTAAAGTGATCCCATCTCTAGCTGCGTGAATGCACTCCAACCAGCCTCCAGAGTGGCACGAACATGGACAAATCCCAGCTTACCACCCATTTTCCCATTTGATTTTTAAATGAAATTGGAACCATTCACCCCAAAATCCCTAGTGCTTCTGAGGTAAAGGTACACAGCCTGCAAGGAAAAAACAAACAAACAAACAAAAAACCCTACAAAAAGTCCAAGAATAGCTAACATAGAAGGAAACACCTTTTAGAGAAGCCGAATTGAAACTGCATTTTACTTTCACAAAGGATCCTTTAAAACAAAGCATTTCCTTTCTGCTGGTTTTGACTCATCTTCATATTTCCTGCCTGAGTGGCCCTCGGATCTCCTGTGGTGTCCTGAGTGGATGCACCTAGAAGAGGGCCTTTTCCCACCTGAATGAAGAAAAGGCTCCCATTCAGCTAAAGGGGAACTATAACAAAATGACAATTCTGACTGGAATAATGAGGCGAACATACTTTGTTTACTAATTTATTAATAAGTTTAATAATAAACTTATACAAAAGAACATATTTTTGGCTTTGAAATCATGACATAAAACAGGCAGGAAAATAATTGGAAATTATCAGCTGAAAATGGTAGAATCAACTCCTGCTGAACCTGAGTAACACTCCAGCTGGGCAGCAGCAGATGCACCAGCTGAGCTGGCTTCCACCTGCTCAGCTCCCTGCAGGGGTCTGGTCAGGGCATACAGGAAACTCACCTTTCTCTCCATTATTTCTTCCCATCCTGACTTGAACTACAAGAATAGTGAAGTATCCTAGTTTTTAGGATAGTGTTGTTTTCTTAACTTGGTTGAACTACGTGTTTTCGACCTTCAAGAACAAAAAGCTGCTAAAATCAATTGTAACTATAAAGCCATTTCTATTTTTGGTCAGCTATTTGCTGTAGGCAAAACTTCATATAGGAATTTTTGTTGCGAGTTTCCAAGACTGCATCCCTAACAAGCTCAATGAACATCTGTGGCCAAAGCTTCTGCAAAGCCTCTTTCTTCATGTTGATTTCTGTGGCTTCCTTCACAAGGTCCTCTATGTAAATTTTGCAGAATTTCTTTTTTTCCTTTGTTTCCTGTTAAAAAAAGAAAAATCTGCACTGAATCATAATTAATCCAAAGCAACAATGAACCAGAGAAACTTGAATACTTTCCTAGACAGTAATACCTGTCAGGGCAGCACTACCTGACAGCAGTAATACTTTCCTGGACAGTCTGAACACAGAGCTGTGCTTAAGAAAAGACAGCAATTGGGAGATCCTTACTTCCCAGCCCACTCCTACCTCCAGTGGACAACTCTGAGGAGTCGCAGACTTGATCCCGGGGGTGGGGGGGGTGGGGGGGGGCGTATAGGAGGCAACCGATCAATGATTCTCTCTCATCATTTCTATCTCTCTCTGCCTCTTCCTCCCTCTCTGAAATCAATAAAAATATATATATTTTAAAAAGTGTACAAGAAAGAAGAGGAAATATATACAAGTCTGGGATCCATAAGTTAGCCTTTGAAAGAAGCAGTAATAAGTCAGTCAGACAAAGACAAATACCATATTATCTCACTTATATGTGGAATATAATGAACAAAATAAACTGATGAACAAAATAGGAAGAGAGGCATGGATACATGGAACAGACTGACAGCTATCAGAGGGGAAGTAAGGGGGACTGAATGAAAAAAGGTGAAAGGATTAGCCAAAGAACATATATGCATAACCCATGGTTACAGACAGCAGTGTGGTGATGGCCAGAGGGAAGAAAAGGGCTGTGTAGGAGCCAGGGCTAGGTGGGGCAGGACAAAGGCAGGGGAAAATGGGGACATCTATAATAGCGTAAATAATAAAGTTTTTTTTAAAAAAAGAAAGTGTCGCGCACACACACAGAAGAAGGAAAAGGAAAAGAAGAAAGAGGAGGAAGAAGAGAAGGACTAGGAAAAAGAGGAAAAGGAGGAGGAGGAGGGGGGGGGGAGGAAAGAAGGAAGGAAGGAAGGAAGGAAGGAAGGGAGGGAGGGAGGGAGGGAGGGAGGGAGGGAGGGAGGGAGGGAGGGAGGGAGGGAGGGAGGAAGGAAGGGAGGAAGGAGGGAAGAAGGAAATATTAATAGTAAAGAAATAGTGCTTTTTTCTCAACTTCTGGGTCTGGCAATCTACAATTGAAAAATCTTCAAAACACGCAGAAGAAGCTTTGGACCCAAGGATATTTGGGCACTGGGTCCCATTTTCATCCCAGAGGCTGAAACAAAGCCATTTTGTTTAATGCAGGAATTCTATTTTGGATATTGATATTTTGGGGAAGTATAAAGGCATTATGATGGAAAGTGTCATTATATGGAAAAATCAATGAAATAGATCAGATAATCAGAATAAAATGGTGATCAATTCACATCAATAAAGGAAAGAAATGCCAATGAGACAATAGGCTTAATTAATTGTAAAACATCTACTGAAATCTCCAACTCAAAATGTTAAACTTAAAATATCAAATGATATTGACATTAAAATTATACTTACAGCCCTGGCCGTTTTATCTCAATGGTTAAAGCACTGGCCCTCAGACTGAAGGGCTGCCAGTTTGATTCCCAGTCAAGGGCACCTACCCTGGTTGCAATTAGTTGCTTGGGTAGGTGCCAGTGGGGGAGGCAACTAATTTATGTATCTCTCTCATGTTGATATTTTTCTATCTCCCCCTCCTTCCTCCCTTCCACTCTCTCTAGAAATCAATGGTAAAAATATATTCGGGTTATTAAAAAATTACACTCATAAAGATTTATAATAAGAAGGAAAATATAATGTTACATAGAAAAATGCAAAATGAAATTCTGATAGAGGTTGGTTATAAGATTGTATGTATTTGTCAAAACTTAGCAATTATACACCTAAGACTTGTATTTCATTGTATATAATTTTTCCTCAAAAGAAGAAACTATATAAAAGACTGAACTTTAATGATATGCATGCTGAATTACTTAGAGAAGCATGCTAATGTCTGCAATTACATTGAAATAAATTTAAAATATAAGGTGGATTTTGATGGACAGATAATGGGTAGATGCATAGATATGTGACAAAGCAAGTACACTGTACAGTACAATGTTAATACTAGACTACAGGTTTGGGTAGATAATTTTTCATTAAAAAGTTAGAAAAATATATAGAAAACTATTGGAAGAAAATGTATGGAAGTGTCATTAAGATAGTTTTTGTGTTGTTAGACCATGAGTGTTTTTACCTCTTTTTTTTCTTTCTGTTTTTCTTCCTTTACCATATTTTTACAACTTATAAAACAACAAAATATATTTTACTTTCTAAAAGATTGATTTTAGAGAGGAAGGAAGAGAAAAAGAAACATTGATGAGAGAGAGACACATCATGTCTCCTGCATGCCCCATTCTGGGCACCAAAACCAGGGCATATCCCTGACCAGGAATTGAACCAGTGACCTCTTGATGCTGGGGCAATGCCCAACCAACTGACCCACAGTAGTTGGGAAAATGTATTTTATATTCTTGACTAATTAATGTAAGTTAATGATGAATCTCAATTGTCACTAACTTTCCCTAATAGAAGCACATTTTGAAAAGTTTCTTACAATAAGATTTTTCTAAACAATCACTCACCATTTAGGGGTCAATTTGATTTGATATAGTTCACAGGCTAAAAACAACAGGCCATTGGTTGAGCTATCATAAAATATCTACAGATTTTGATGGGCAATAAACAAAAAATGTTTTCAGCTGTCAACTTCTCTGATGAACCTGATATCTCTAACTCTGAAGTATAGTATGGGACTTAGTCACCTACACTATGTTAGGTTTGTTGATGATAACAGCATTTAGCTGCTCTCTTTTAACACTCGGTAAATTTGGGCTACACAGGGACTACCAGGAAGAAAGACAAGTGTGAATCACCAGAGATTAATAACTGAAATGCACACTATTTCACAAAAAAGCAATGCATTTATACAAGTCCAAGACACAGAGCATATTTAGTGAATGCCTCTCTTGCAGATTTCTAAAGTATCTTAGAACATGGTTTTGAATTAAAAAAAAAAAAAAAAAAAAAAAAAAAAAGCCCAGGTGATGTGGCTCAGTAGATGAGCATTGACCCAGGAACCAAGAGGTTGCTGGTTTAATTTCAGGTCAGGGCACATGCCCTAGTTGTAGGCTTAATCCCCCGTAGGGGGCATACAGGAGGCAGCTGATCAATGATATTCCTCTCTCATTGATTTTTTTTTATCACTCTATCCCTCTCCCTTCCTCTTTCTTTAAAAATCAATAAAAACATATATATTTTTAAAAAGATAAAGTTTTGGTAGTAAGGTGAAAAAAAGTTATAGTAATTTAGGTATAACAAAAACTTAAAGAAGTTTTAAATGATGTTAAATAATTTATACATAATACAAATATAAACTTTTCATAATTGGCATAGTGCAATTTTTGGTGCTTTAAATTTTTCTGCTAGTTTTTTCCATTACTTCTTCACAAACATGTTGATACAGAAATGTATCTGCTATAATAGCCTAGTAACTGTGTTTGAAAGCATTTTCACTTCATTATCTTTTCTCTCCTCTAAGCCAATTACTCTGCATCTACATGTAGTATACTCTAAAACTTGTCAGGTGTCTGCCAGCGCAGCCTCTCAGCTCATCCAAAAGGATCCTGCTAAGCACATTGGCAATACCTCTCTTGCCATACTTGTTAAGGAGCTGTTGTTGCTCTTTGAATAATGCTCTTCCCATTCTCAAATGCTTTCATATACTTGTTTTTCTGTCCCACAATATCCCTGTGTGGTTCATAAAGCAAGTCCAATTTTATAAGTCCAATCCTGATTAAATGAATTATATACAATATTGTTTATATTATTTTATTGAACTAAATTGTTGTCATGAAGATGGTTAGAGGGAAAAAGTAGGCCAGCAGTGGGATTTGTTATAAAGCGAGTTTAACTACCATGATATTGTATTGGAATTTAATACATATCTCCATTTTATAAATAGGAAACTAAGGTCAATAGAAGTTGAGAAACTTGATCAGGATCAGGCATCATCTACTATTAATACTATTTGCCTAGAGAAATCCCTAATCTAGTCCTCGAAGAAACTGCAGTTGGTAAGATGGCCTAAACATACGAAAAGCTAACTTAAAAAGATGAAATAGTAAGTGCTGAATGAGATGAGAGAGCAGATACAACCAGCGTTCTGAGAAGAAAGCCCTTTTGCACTAGAACCTAATGTCTAGGCGGTCAAGCAGACTTCGGAGAGCGGCATGATACACTGTGAGTTCAAGGTCAGGAATAAGGGGTCTGAGTTCTGGAAGCAGCTCTGTCAGTAACTTACCATGTGGTCGGTCTTGTTTCCAGCTTGCCTCATCTGTCTAAGGACAGGATTGAATTCTAGAGTCCCTTTCAGCTCTCTGATTCGACATCCATCATAAATCATTTTTAGATTGAATCAGGAGAATGGATGGGCAATTACAAACCGACAGAATTATGCATGTCCTATGTATAAGTTGTACATGTCATATGTACAATGAAAGAGTCTGCCTATCCTCATTTGTGAGAAATTCATTTCAATTAACTCCCAGGGTATGTAGAGAAGAGAAAGTGAGAACTTTTGGCTACAGAGATTTAAAATTTTTTCAAGAAGTGGAGAGGGAGAATATATGTTATACATGAAGGAATGCTGGGTTGTGAGTCAAGAGAGAGTGATTAAGGGGCTAAAGTAAGATCTATCAGTAGTAGAATCAGGGGCCCAAATCTAAGTCTCCTGGTGACCTAATGGTCTTTTCTAAAATATTATGTGACTTCAGATTCATTCTTTTCCTTTGGTATTTCTCAAAACAGGAGTCAACATTCCCTGTCTTTACTTCTTCTTGCTTATTTATGCTCAAACTACTTTAGCTGAGACTTGCTTCTATGACTCCACTGAAATGATTTTTGTTAAACACACACACACACACACACACACACACACACACACACACACACCAAATAAACCCCAATGACCTTGATTGCCAAATTTATCAACTTTTTTTTTTCTTTCTTGTTTGTGCCCTTGCTGTGTTAAGAGAAAATCTTAGCCTACCCAACCAAGGTCATAAAGATTTTTCTCCTTAAAAATGAGGACTTTTTTTTTTCATACTTGGATTTTTATTTTATCTAGATTTAATTTTTGCTGTATGGTATAAAGTAGGGCCTCCTCAGTACCATTTATTATGCGGTCTGTCTACACTAGTCTGCAAAATCTGCTCTCTGTATAAAGATTCCCATAAGCATGGGATAATTCTGTCTCTATTTTGTACACAGGTCCATTTACCTATTTCTACACTGCCTTTATTACTATACTGTATGATAATACTTGCTATCTGGTGAGGCAAGTTCTCCCACTTTTACTCTTGTGTATTTTAGGTCTATCGGATAATATTTTAAGAAACTGCTCTATCAGATAACTTTTATGATCAAATGGTGAATTTCCACAAATAACTCTGTCCACATTTTTATTAAAGCTGCCTTATATTTATGGATAGACTTAGGAAGAATTGACATTTTTATCATGTAAAAAGCTTCTGTCCAGCCCAGCTGGCATGGCTCAATGGTTGAGCATTGACCTACAAACCAGGAGATCATGGTTGGATTCCTGGTCAGGGCACATGTCTGGGTTGCAGGCTTGATCCCCAGTGGGGGTTTGGAAGGAGGTAGCTGATCAATGATTCTCTCATCATTGATGTTTCTCTCTCTCTCTCTCTCTCTCTCTCTCTCTCTCTCTCTCTCTCTCTCTCAATCTCTCTTCTTTCCTCTCTGAAATCAATAAAAATATATTTTTAAAAAATTTCAATCCACGAATATTATCTATTTAATTCTTCTTCGGGGTCTTTCTATAAAATTTCACAATTTCGTTGAAACTTCTATAAAAGATTTACACATATTTTATTATTCATGCCTACAATGTTTGTTTTTGTGGTACATGGTACATTATTTGAAGTTTTTGAATAAATAATACAACCTAGATTAAATTACTGACTCCTTTTCTAAAAGCTCTTCATAATTTAGGTAGATCATTGCAAACTATTTTTTGTTTGTAATCTATCTTTCCTGATTTTATTACCCTGAAGGTCTTTCTCATCCCAATGCTACACATTAATTTTCCATTTCTTGTATAATTTTTATGCTTTCATTATAAACTTTTAAATATCTGATCTACTGGGAATCTATGCTGAAGTAAGACATAAAGACCAAATCCTGCTCCCCACCTCAGTTTCTTAATTATTCTCAAATCATTTATTGGATAGTCCACCTAACCAGTTTGAGATTATTCTTTATCATATAATAAATTCTCTTTTGTATTTAAATATATACTTGACTTTTTATTATATTCCATTAGTCCATTTCTTCATAACCATCATGTTTGAACTGGTAAGAATTTATAACATGCCTTAACATCTAGCAGTACTGGTCTTTTTCAGTCTTTATGGCTATTTGTTATTTTCCCAGATGTACTGTAGGATCAACACACCTCAAAGTAAAATGTTTGTACTTTTATTGGAATCACATTAAAATTTTAAATTAACTTAAGGAAAACTAACAATTAACTTTAGATCCTTCTTATCCAAACGTGATAAGTTTTTTCATTTGCATAAATCTTTTGTGTACTTCATTAATGTTTTAAAGTGTACTTTAGATAGTTCTTGCATATTTATTAGTTTCCTAGTAGGTATTTTATCTTTTTGTGCTGTTACTGTGTAGTCTCTATGTTATAAGATCTGATATTGTACTGAGTGACCATCGTCCAAAATAAAATATTCTCGTCACCGTTCAGATTTCTTTTGAAGATTCTTTTTCTGCAGAAATGAAGATATTGGAACTATGGGCTCTACTTTTCCTAATGCTATGGTGCCTACTTTCCTCATCTCTGTATATTTAAGGCTGGCTAACATTCCAGACAATAACAACACTAAAAGGTTATCTTGACGGTTTGAGGGAGAAATGTACAAGCTCCAAGTCCTAAGCCATGTGAGATATACACAGACACTAGATTCCAAAAATAAATGGTAATTTTACCTCTAGCTTTTCATTATAAAAGTCTCTTGTGGTATAATTTAGCATAGCACGATTTGTATTTTCTCCTACAAATCTTTTGCTATCATTATTTTCTTCATTAACAATACCATGTTTTTTCCCCTTCGTTTCTTGTAGATAGCGGAATTGTTTCTTCCTACAGAAAGACAGTAGAGAGATACAGAGTTACTTAACATATTTATTAACAAATGTCCATTTTTAAATTTTGTTTTAGAGGGAAACATATATTCTTTTGAATGTTTTATGAGTTTGAATTAATTATTTACTTGAGCTCAGTTCAGTGCTCCAATCTTTCTACTAATTAAGGTATTCAACACAAATTCTTGTTTCATAACTACCAATCATCAATATAAGCATGTCTCAAGCATTTCTAAAGTGAAAAAGACTCAACATTTAAAAAATCAATACAAAAATTAAGTAATCACAGAACACAAAATAACCCAATTAAAGATGTAGTAGATCAAACTTTCAGAGTCTTTATATTCCATAAAACATGTTAGTTACCCTCTTGTAAGGCATACAAATACCTCATAAATTCCACTAGGCAGCTTAGTATTATTATAAATAGCTAGAACATGGAATGGGATACTGGTTTAAGTTCAGAGAAAATCAAAACAAAAACTTCCAACTGTTAGCATATCAGTGCCAGATCTCAATAGGAGGTAAATAATGAGAGAGGAGCCTCATTTGATTAAGATGAAGAACATAAATGGTGCTCATAGTATCATTTACAGACCCATAAGCCTAATCCAGAGGGCTCCAACTCATCCTACATGAAAGATGCTTCTGGTTTCCACCACTTCGAGTGTCTATACATGAAGTGGTATTACTACTCTACTGTGATCTTAAGACAGGGCAGAAGAAAAATATTTCTTTTAAAATTTGTTCCATTTTCCAATTTAAAGGTGTAAAACAATCATTTGAAAAGTTGTAAGGAATACAAATGTTTGAATAGTATAAAAAATTAATCTATTTTAAGCTCAATCACTCATAAATCTATAGCACATAAATCTATATATATAAATCTATAACATTGTTCATATTTGACATATTTCTCTTTAGGCCTTTTTTTATAAATGTTTGTAAAAAGTTAAAACCACACTAAACATCCAATTATGTACATTATTTTTCACTTAATGTTATATAATTTTCCATGTCATTAAAAATTAATAATTTTGCCCTGGCCTGTGTGGCTCAGTTGGTTGAGCATCGTCCTGTGCACAGAAGGGTCACAGATTCGATTCCGTTAGGGCACATACCCAGCTTACAGGTTCAGTTCCTAGTAGGGGCTCATACTGGAAGCAACCGATGAATGTTTCTCTCTCACATAAATGTTTATCTCTTTCTCTCTCCCTCTCCTTTCTCCTCTTTCTAAACATATATCTACAACAGTAGTATATATTAGAAAAGAGTTAATGGAGATACAGTATTCTAGATTTTTGTATTCCGTAAGATGGAGATACAGTAGTTAACTTTAGATGTCAGTACTTTTAAGAGTGCATGATTTTTAAAAATAATAGTTTATTGATTTTTAGAGAAAGGGAGAGAAACTTCTTGCTTTTATTATTTTGTTTTAATATGTCAATTTCATCTTCATTATTGAAGAACATTTTTGTTGTATATAGAATTCCAGGTTGGAAATTTGTTTCCTTTAGTATTTTAAATTATATCATTTGTTATTCTATCTTGTGGCTTCCACTACTTCTGTTGTGAAATTATTTGTTGATGTGGATACAACAGAAAATACCCTTTACTCTCTGTTGTATCTTTCTTTGAAAGTCCAATCAACATATGTTAAATCTTCTAATTCACTCCATCTTAAAATTTCTTAACTTATTTCTCTGTTCTTCTTTTTCTTTGGGATGCATTCTACCAATTCCACTAGCCTATTTCCCAATTTACAGCTTTTATTTTCTTTTTTCTTTTTATAAAACTTATATTTCAAATTATTCCAATCAAAGGCAGATGTAAACTTTGTGGAGATTGAAGCATCTATAACTTTATTGTCTCTTTTTTAACATAATTACAAAATTGTGAATATGAAACACCATTACATTTCTGAGCTTCAAATAGGCCTCAATGATTCTCCTTTCTACTGTATCTAATTGGCTGTTAAAACAAGTTTTAAAATTTTATTGTATTTTTTACTTATAGAACTTCCTTTGGTTTCCTTTCAGATCTGCTGGATTACTTTTTAAATTTTCCTCTTCTCTCCAGATATTTTCAACCTTGTCTTTCATATCATGAAATATACTAGGCATAATAATTTTATATTCTATGAGTGATAATGCAAAAATCTAAAGTGTTCATGGGCTGTTTTTGTTGTTGTTTTTTTCCTGCTAGTTCTCGTATATAGTGCTTTATTTCCTAGTGTGTGCTTGGTTGTGTGTGTGTGTGTGTGTGTGTGTGTGTGTGTGTGTGTTGGTCATTGTTCTTAAAAATTATCCATGGGACCCTGGCCTGTGTGGCTCATGTACGGAGAGGTTGCTTGTTTGATTCCTGGTCAGGACACATGCCAGAGTTCTGGACTCAATCCCTAGTAGGGGACTTGCAGGAGGCAACTGATTAATGCTTCACTCTCACATTGATGTTTCTCTCTTTCTTTCTCTTTCCCTTCCTCTCTCTAAACATCAATTTAAAAAGTATTATCCATGGGGATTCTTTGAGATAGGATGAAAGCAACTTCTCCCAGAGAGGAGGTGCATTTGGTTTTCCGAAATATCTAGAGAAAGTAACGTTTAAACTTAGATATTATTTTAAACTGCCCGTGTATTGTGAATTCAGGCTGCAAGTCTATTAAAAAACTGTCTTTTGATTATAACTTCTTACAGACAACTTTGCCACTTTTCTGCTCAAGCCAAGACAACTTTTCTTGTAAAACCTTGAGAGTGGGGAGAGGAAGAAATGTTTATTTCTGATAATCTTCACCTTGATGATGTAGCCATTTGGCTTTTTGCATAATCTTTAGCATAAAGATTTCAATTTATATTCACCATTTTAGATGAGGTCCTAGGCTGTGATTTTTTATCATTCCTTTTTTTGTAGCTAAAAGTCCCAAAATTTAAATTTCCCTGAAATGCCTTGAGGTCAAACATAGTCTTTGTGCTCATATTCTCAATGTTCTTTTTCCCATGGATATTAGCTTAATAATTTTATTATATATTGTCATCTCTTCAATACTTTTATGTAGCTTTTAAAGGACTTATCCAGAGCCAAAACCGGTTTGGCTCAGTGGTAGAGCGTCAGTCTGCGGACTGAAAGGTCCCAGGTTTGATTCTGGTCAGGGGCATTTACGTTGGTTGTGGGCACATCTCAGTAGGGGGTGTGCAAGAGGCAGCTGGTCTATGTTTCTCTCTCATCGATGTTTCTAGCTCTCTAGCTCTCTCCCTTCCTCTCTGTAAAAAAAAAAATCAATAAAATAAAGTATATTTAAAAAAAAAAAATAAAAGTCTTATCCAGAATTTTTAGTTGTTTTTAATGGTCAAAATAATCTAACTCATCATTTTCATAAAGCAAGTCCCAATATCTCAATGAAAAGTTTCAAATTGTACAAAAATACACAGAGTTAAACTTGAACACCATTTTTCAACTATTCCACCACCATTTCAACATCCACACCCATCCAGGTGTTTATTTTTTTAGCTCCTTTTTTATGCTTCTGTGTACATATTTAATTTGTCGCTTTTTATAATAGCAGTGGGTCATAATATAAATAATGTTTTATGTTTTATTTTATTTTATTTAACTGTCTGCCTCTGGATTATTTCATGACAGAACAGACCCACCTTACTCTACATATACCTTAATCTATAATGTACGTAGTATCATAGTAAGTAGTCTCAGGTAGATACTATGGATGTATCATGTAACAGTATCATGATTTAGTTTTCCATAACATTAGGCATTTAGTTACTTTCCAATGTTGGGTTACTATAAACAATAAAGCAATGGCAGCCTCTTGTACATATATCATTAATGCCACTATATATGCTTGACAATAAGTTATATTTGTAGTACAAGCCTCCTACAGGAAGATTGAACCTGCAACCTAGGAATGCATCCTGACCAAGAATTTCTGCATACAGACATAAGATAGATAATGCCAAACTACCTCCTCCAAGTTATACTTTTGCTAACAGTAGAATGTACATTTCCCTGAATATTAATAAATCCTTGATATTATTGGTTTAAAATTTTAAGTCAATCTCATTGGCAAAAAAATTCTCATTATTTTAATTTTATTTCCCTAATTACAAGTTGATTTCATCTTTTGTTATGTTATTTGGCCATTTGTCATTATGAATTCTCTATTTATATACTTTGATTTTATTTCCTATCACATTGACTGTCTTTTTCTTACTAAATTTATAGAACTTTCAAAATTTGTTAAATATGTTGAAAATATATTTTTTCTATATGCTTATGTCTTTTGACCTTATTATGGTTTTATTGTATAAAGCTTTTAAATTTTTATGAACAAAATGTGTCAAATTTTATGGAAGTATTAGAAAATATAGTAGAGTAGTTTTTTAAAATTTGGGATAATTAATGCCTTACTAAGATACAAATTTATCTCGTTTGGTTTATTGAGTACTCTCATTAAGATTTTTCATTGAGAATTTAGTAAATTTGTGAATTAATTCAAATATGTTTGTATATTTTTACTATTAAGTCACAGAAATCATTAAAAGCACATCTCTTCATTTCTTAGGCTTTTTTTATTCCTAATTTCACTGTGGTTTTATAGTTTTATTGCTTGAATAAATAGTATACTTTTCTAAAACTATTTTCAATAATTTTTTAATGTAATGAGGAAATGTTAATTATTTTTGAATGCTGAAGTGGTGTCTGACCTCCTTGCACATTTTGACTAGTTCAAAAACATTTAATAGTTGAGCTCTTAGATTTTTCTTAGAAAACTATCTTTATAAAGAGTGAATTTTTGTTTTTACTGGACAACTGTTCATTTTTCAATTTCTTCTTTTCTTTAAAAATTACTGTTATTTTTATGAATTACTTTATTTTATTTCATTTTATTCTGGAATTTTCTAGCTTCCTGAATGAAAAGCCTCATTCATTAATTTCTAATCTTCACTTTCTAATAAATATATTAAAGATATATAATTTCCTCTTAGTATACTATTAGCCATGCCTCATATATTTTGAGATATATATATATATATATATATATATATATATATATATATATATTTGGAAAAAATTTAACATTTATTAAGCCCAAAGGAAAAAAATGTGTATTTTTTCTTTGGGCTTAATAAATATTCAATTTTTTCCAAAATATTTCTTAGGTGTTGGAATAGTCTTTTTGTTGTTGTTGTTGTTTGTTTGTTTTATAATGAATTGGGAATAAAGTTCTGGGAAAAATTTTAAATACAGGTTGGGAAAAAAAGTAGATTTACAGAAGTTTGTATGGAAAATAATACAATAATTAATAATAATACAACAATAGTCTGGCTCGTGTAGCTCAGTGGTTGAGCATTGACCTGATTTACTAAGAGGTCCCTGATTCGATATGCCTGGGTTGTGGGCTTGATCTCCAGCAATGGGGCATGCAGGTAGCAGCCAATTGATGTTGATGCATCAATGTTTCTTTCTCTCTCTCCTCTCCCTTTCTCTTTGTCTAAAATCAATAAAAACATATTAAAAATAATAATACAACAATAAACTCTGTTTTGTGTACTCACAACTATAAACCCAACTTGCCCCAACCTGTATATTTATTTGATAAAATGTGTTAACTGAGTTATTCAAATCCTCATTATTTTTTATTTTTGTTAATTTTATCTACTGATCAAATCAATTAATATTTACCACAATAACTGGCTTTAACAGTGTATAATTGAATTTCTTTTTCTCTTTTGTTAAATATACTTTTTTATTGATTCTGGAGGGGAAGAGAGAGGGAGAGATAGATAGAAACACCAATGATGAGAGAGAACCACTGATCAGCTACCTTCTGCATTGTCCCTACTAGCAATGGAATCCACAACCCAGGCATATGCTCTGTCTGGGAATCGAACTGTGACCTCTTGTTTCATAAGTAGATGTCAACCACTGAGCCACACTGGCCAGGCTATACTTGTATTTCTTAATGTATTTAGAAGCTATCATCTTGGTTAAACTAAGTTTAACATTATCCTTTTTTTTTTTTTGTGGATTGTAGTTTTGGTGTCATGAATTCTATTATCACTAATATTAATACCCCCATTTTGGTTTGTTGTTGTGGTCAGCATTTTCTTGTTATGTATTTTCTATTTCTTTATTTCAACTTTATATATTGCTTTCTTTAGGGATATCTCTCAAAAAAAAATGTAACTCAATTTTTAATCCCATCTGAAAGCCACTGTCTATTAATAGGATAATTTCATTCAATAATATTCATTGTGATAATGGACATGTTTCCTGTTTTACTTCCTTTTTTGCTTCTTGTTGTTGAGTGTTTTCTTTCCCTCCATCTATGCCACATCCTGTCAGTGAATGCATTCAGTCAGGTACATCTATTCTAAATATTTTAAATATTTTTCAAATTATTCTCTTCTCCAGCCTCACTGTCTTAGTTCAGGCCATTGTAATCTCTCTCCAGGACTATATACTAGCCTCTCAATTGGTCCCATTCCTTCCATCCATGTCTGCTCAAATAGCAGCCTTTCTAGAACATAAATCTAATTTATGGGCTTAATTACAAAGCACAAGTTTTCACTTTTGTTTTGTATGGATTGCAAGACTCCTCAAAATCAGATCATAGTCAATATTTCTAGCTTCATTTCCTATTACTACTCACAATCATCCCATGTTTCAATTATACTGAATTATCTCCAATTCCTTGTGCCTCTGCAGATCTCTTTCCCACATAACCTCTATCTGAAATATTCCTACTGATTCCTAAAAAACTAGGTGACATGTTACCTCTTTTGTGACACCTTCCCTAATGTTCTTCCAAAATGCTGTTGGTCTTTCCGAGCTTTTATGGACCTCTTATGGCACCTGACACATCACTATATATAAGTCAAGTGACTGGAACAATGGAACAATGGAATGACCAGAACAACTCGTTGCTATGACACGAACTGTGGCGTGACCTTTCAAGCTTCATTTCCTATCATTTCCTATTCACAATCAACCCCCTGCAGCCCCACCCTTGATTGGCTCACCTACCCCCATGGGGGGGGGGACACCAGCCAACCTTCCACAGTCCCTTCCAACACCAGCCCCATCCCAATCAGCTCCCATCAGGGCAGGCTGGCTGGCCTCCACGTGTGCGTGAATTCACACCAGCATCTAGTTTCATTATAATTTTTTATTTATATCTTTAATTTATTAGCTTATAACCACATAAGAGTGTGGGCTTTATCTTATTCATCTTTATGTCCCCAACACTCTGAATAGGGCCAGCCACAAAACAAACAGGATAAATGTCTGTGAGATGTATAAATGGAAGAGTGCAACAGTAATTCTATGAAAATGATAGAAATTAAAGGTTACCTGGCATCACCCAGAATTGAAATCACTCGGTAATGGGGTAACTCAGAAGATGCTACATGAGCTAGGATTCCAAAGAGTCTTTCAGCCATTATCATATCGTTCTGTGTCACCTGAAGATATACAATGGAGATATACAATGGATATCAATGGGTCAAAAATGATACTGTCTTTTACCTTCATGCAACATTCCAAAGAAATGTCCAGATTAAGGTTTTTTTTTGTTTTGTTTGTTTGTTTGTTTGTTTTTAGCTCAGGAAAGTACATTGTTCTGGGCTATAAGAAGAGATTTCTCATTGACATTTCATTTTCTTCCCTGAACTTAATTAGAAGATGTACAAAAGTGGCTCATGGAGATGGAGGATGACTACAAGTTGAGTTTGCACTTACTTATAAGCTATATTTCATGAGAGTTATACTGAGGCAATTTAGATTCTTATGAATTTTTTAGAAATCCTATATTTTCTTGAGGTAGAATGATATAGAGGGAAATTCCCAAGTGTCAATGAAATAGGTTCATTTTAATAATGTTTCAAAGGTACAATAAGGTTTTGTTCAGACCTTGCTCCTATAAGGATAATTTTGTCCCTGTCTAAGAGTTAGAACATTGGATTATCAGGGACACTCCTGTTCATTCTGAAGTCCACCTTGCACACTACAAGGATTAACTTGTCACAGGCCTTCCCTGTGATGGTTCATTTAGATGTTAACTAAGAAATTGCTAAAAGCAGGAGTTGGATTAATTTTTTATTCAATGTGATATAATTTACATTATTTCTTTCATGGCATATTGTCTTCAATGTGAAATATGGTTGCTTGCATTTTAAGTACTATTAATTTGTTTATATATAATAATTCAGTAGATTCCAACCAGGAGCCATTGTAGTCCCTAGGGAACACTTAGCTATGTTTGGAGACATTTTTGGTTGTCACAACTTGGTGAAGGGGCACTACTGGCATCTAGTGGGTAGAGGCGAGGGGTGCTGCTAAACATCCCACAATGCACAGGAGAGACCCCAAAACAAAGAGTTATCTAGCCTAATATGTCAACAGAGCTGAAGTTGAGAAACCATAGAATAGTTAAATTTTGAATCTTTTATAAGTTCATTCTTAACATTAGCTATATTTCATGGGCATTTTCTGAAAAATAAACCCATAATTCACAAGCATCTTATGAATCAGTTGCAGACAGACTTTCCCTTCCTTTCCTATATATTCTTTTTTAAATTATATTTTTATGGTTGATAGTAAATATATTACAGATATCCCTCATCTCCCTCTTTTTCCCTGTCCATACCTTGCCCCATCCAAGCCTTCACCCATGGGCTATGCATATCTATACAAATAATAGCCTAGGGCCATCACAACCAGGGACCTAACATGAGAGGGGTGGGTGCGGATGTGGTGAGGTCCTTAGCCTCCAGCCCAGGCCCTGCGGAGGCCTAACGACTTTGCTGCTGCCTCAGCAGTTGATTCCAGCAGGACCTGGGCCCTCTCCTCTGTGGACCAGAGGCCCTTTTCCTGATACTATGTCCCCAGGATAACTCATACCCATTTGTGGAAGTCAGGAAACACTGTGGTCATCCCACCCTGGGGACTCCCAAGGCTGACAGCAAGGGTGGGCTTCTGTGGAGTCCCCTCTGTTATGTTATCCAGTGTCACTACATCCTAATGTTGACTCTGACAGGAATTGGGCCAGTCCTCTGTGTATCTAAGTTCCCACTCCTTATACCAAAGCCCCCGAGTCTCTGAGACCCGGATATAGAAATTGCTTGTCGGAGTCATCCTACCCTGGGGACTATCAGGGCTTACAGCATGGGAGGGCCTTGGTGGGGTTCCCTCTGTTGTGTCCAGAGTCCCTTTTGTTTCCTCGGGGTCCGCACCTTGAGTCTGTCAGGACTTGGGCCAGTCCTCTGTGTATCTGAGGTCCAGCTCCCTATGCCAAATCCCTGTAGTCTCTGAGACCCAGATGCAGAAATCACCTGTTATCATTCTGCCTTGGGTGGGATGATTCTGTTCTAGGGTCCAGGGTCCCTCCATCCTCCATCATGTTCCTCACCTTGAGCCCTGCAGGTGCTGGGTTCCTCCCTCTGTTGACCCAAGTCCGGACTCCTCAGATCAAGGCCTCACTGTCCTGAGTCCTCTGGAGGAAGTCAGTATATGTTACATCAGGTACCAAGCCCAGCAATTCCAAAGCCTGAAGGCAGGGGCTGAGATGAATTCCTCCGTTGAGTCCTTTAGCCCTACCTCTCATCCATACAGGGCCTGGGCCTCCTATCCTCTATTAACCTGAGTCTGCAATCCTCAGAGCAAGAGTCTGACTACCCAAATTCCCTGAGGAGATGGGCAGGGGCAGGTGCAGTTTTCAGGAAGCCCAACTTCAGAAATTAAAATTCCTGCCTCATTCACTTTATACTGTTAAACCCCAGATCTGGATATTATACCTACTATGATTACCCCCAAGATTTTAAACAAAGCTAAGATAACCAGTTGAGTAACTCTATTCATTAAAGCAGCCTAAAGGCAATTATTTCAACCTTGAAAACAGAAAGCTGGTGAGAGCCACATGGACAGTGGAAAAAGCGGGGTGAGATGGAAAATTTCTCTGGTATAGTATCCAAGAAGTGAATGGTTTTCAAGGTGTAAGAGCAACCTGTACTAGGGGAGCATGGTGATTCACATCTCCACAGAGACAGTCACATTACCTTGAAAAGATTTTAGGTAACTCTTAGGAAAACTAGCTAATGGTGAAAGATGAGAAAGAACAATGAACCACTGAAATGGGTGGCCTAGGGAAACCTTTTGGGGAAGCATCTTCTTCCTACCATGTGACCCATCAGAACTGAACATAGGTTCTATAAGTTTGAGAAGGCTTAGGAGTGCTAAAGAAATGCCCCCTTTCTCTTACCAAAGCATTTTGGCCTCCTCATCTCGCCCCATGGAAATGTCAGGATGGAGGTCTAATGACCTTGCCACTGCCTCGGTGGCTGTGGATCAGGCCCAGAGAGAGCCTGGAGAGAGAGGCAGGGCCTAATCAGCAGCCACTGTGGCTGCTGGCAAGGCCGAGAGAGAGAGAGAGAGAGAGAGAGAGAGAGAGAGAGAGAGAGAGAGAGAGAGGCGGGGCATGATCAGCAGCTGCCACTGAGGCTGTGGATCAGGCCTGGAGGCAGAGGCAGGCAGAGGGGTTAGGGGCAATCAGGCAGAGGCAGTTAGGGGTGATCAGGTAGGCAGGCAGGTGAGCAGTTAGGAGCCAGTGGTCCCAGATTGTGAGAAGGATATCCGATTGCCCCCAAGAGGTCCCTGACTGGAGAAGATGCAGTCTGGGCTGAGAGAATACCCTTTCCTGGTGCACAAATTTCATGCACCAGGCTTCTAGCCTAAGTGACCAGCCGACCAGCTGGTAGCTATGACATGCACTGACCACCAGGGGGTAGAAGCTCAATGCAGGAGTTGCCAAGTGACAGCAACTTTGAAGAGTGCCCCTTGCACTCTGGGACACTTTGGGGATGTTGGACTGCTGGTTTTGGCTGGATCCCTGCAGGCCAGGATGAGGAACCCCACTGGTGCACGAATTCATGCACCAGGCCTCTAGTATGTATGGATAATCTCTTCTCATCAGCCCCACTGGCCTCCCCTCTGAGATCCATCAGTTTGTTCTTTATAACCATGCTTCTGGATCCATTTTGTTCCTGTTTATTTTGTTCATTAGATTCCACATATAAGTGAGATTATGTGATATTTGTCTTTCTTGGACTGGCTTATTTCACTTAGTATAATATTCTCCAGGAGCATCTGTAGATAACAGATAACATCTCAAAGATAATAACAGAACCTTCTTTTTACAGTTGCATAGTCTTCCATTGTGTAAATGTACCACAGCTTTTTAATCCGAGGCTTCCAGATCTTAGCTATTATAAATAACTTTGCTATGAAAATAGGGGTGCACATATTCATTCTGATTGGTGTTTCAGGATTCTTAGAATATATTCTTAGAAGTGAGATCACTAGGTCAAACAGCAGTTCCTTTTCAATTTTTTGAGGAAACTTCATGCTGTTCTCCATAGTGGCTGCACTGGTCTGCATTCCCATTAGTAGTGTACTAGGCAGTACACTACTTTTTCTCCCCAATCCCACCAGCACTTGTTCGTTGATTTTAAACAAAGCTAAGATAACCATGGTAGCCATTGATGGTAGCCATTATGGCAGGTGTGTGGTGATACCTCAATCAATTTCAATTTACATCTCTCTGATGATTAGTGCATTTTTTCATATCTCTTGGCCATCTGTATGTCCACTTTGAAGAAATGTCTAAGTCCTTTGCCCATTTTTAAATTGGATTATTCGCCTTCCTTTTGTTAAGTTGTATGAGTTCATCATATATTTTGGAAACTAAACCCCTTATCAGATGCATCATTGGAAAATATGTTCTCCTATACAGTGGGTTTCCTCTTCATTTTGATGATGGTTTCTTTTGCTGTGCAGAAGCTTTTATTTTGATGTAGTTCCAATTCTTTATTTTCTCCTTAGTTTCCTTTGCCCTTGGAGATGTATCCACAAATATAATGCTCTGATAGATGTCTGAGATTTTGCTGCCTATGGTTTCTTCTAGGATTTTTATGGATTAGTGACTTACATTTCTGTTTTTTTTTAATCCATTTTGAATTTATTCTTGGGTACGGTATGAATTGGTGGTCTAATTTCATTTTTTGGGGGGGCATCTATTTGTCCACTATCCCCAGCACTGCTTTACTGAAGAAACTGATTTTACTCATTGTATGTTCTTGCCTCCTTTGTCAAATATTAATTAAATGTAATGTCATGGGTCTATTTCTGGGTTCTCTGTTCTGCTCCATTGATCTAAATGCCTATTCTTGTGCCAATACCAGGCTGTTTTAATTGTAATTTCTTTGTAGTATAGTTTGATATCTGGTATTGTGATCTCTTCAACTTTATTCTTTCTCAAGATTTGTGTGGATATAATGGGGTCCTTTTTGGTTCTATAAACATTTTTGGAAGGTATTTTAATAGGGATTGCGTTGAATTTATAGGTTGCTTTGGGTTGTATGAATGTTCAGTCTTCCAATCCATAATCACAGTATACGCTTGCACTTGT